CCCCAAAACCCCAAAACCCCAAAACCCCGTGATTGAAATTTAGCAATAAATTAGTAATTACAATATTTATTAAAAAATGGAATAATCAGATTTTGTAGAGTAACTAAGCTGATGTTTTAACATTTTATAGTGTAACATAGAATCCTTTAGGTTTTTCCACATTAAACAAAGACAGATTTAAAATGCATTTCATTGAGCAGTTTCATGTAGATTAGTACAAAGATTTGGCATATAAAGGTGATCTACTAAAGATGGGCAGTAGAACTTTTTGTTGGAGACTGTTCTTAGGACTTATCCCTGAAGAGAAAAATTTCTACAAGTGGGTTGAATCAATTAGAAATGAAAGACAAATTTTCTATAAAAAGTCCTAGGAGCTTAGAATAACAAAGAATGGAGACTTAGATCCTAAGATATTCAATCCCTTAGCTGTGCATACTGAAAATAATCCATGGAATAATATGTTTAAGGACAAAGAAATGAGAGAATTGATCACTCAAGATATTGAAAGAACAAGTCAAGAATACGATTTCTTCCAATAGAAAAAAGTTAAAGATATTCTAATTGGAATGCTATTTTTATGGGCAAAAGAAAACTAAGAGACTTAGTACAAGCAAGGAATGAATGAGTTATTAGCTATAGTAGTATTTGCTTTCTTTGCTGAGAGAATGGTAGCTAAAAAGGATTACGACTAGATGGACATTGAGTCTATTGCTTCTAACTCAGATGATTTGATAGGGTTTATCTTTGATTCAAGACATACGTTTGCAGATATCTATTCAACATTCGATTGTATTTTGCAGTATGGAGTTAAAAATCTTTACTCTGATACAAAAGATATTACCGTGTTAAGAAAGGAATTGGTAATTATCTTAATTTAATAAAAAATCTCTATAGTTTAAGGAACATGATGAGCCAAAGAATATGGATTCTAAGCACTTATTTGAATGGAAATAGAGACGAGAATTCGAAGAAAAAAAGATCAGAGCCAAACTTGAGAAAGCTTATGAATAAGAAAAATCAAAGGTATGATGCTTTTTTAATAATAATTATAGTCTGTTATAATGAAGAAATGCAATAGAATATATCACGAATACTTGAAGTATATTGATGGGAAATTATACAATCATTTGATGGAAAATTAAGTAACACCTGAACTTCAGCTAATGAGATGGCTAAGATGTGTACTGAGCAGAGAGTTTACTATAGAATTCACACTAATGTTTTGGGACTTTATCTTTGCTGGAATAGAATCTAAACACAAGCTTGACCCGAAATCCAAAACTTCTGAATTTCTAGCGATTGAAGACGATCCTCTTGCATTTCATGATTACTTATGTGTAGCGATGATCCTTAACTTAAAATCAGACTTACTTGAAAGTGATTTCTCAATGTGCCTAGCCATGATGCTTAATTACCCTGAACCTTAGGTACCAGAGAACTTGCTGAGATATGCTCTCAAGATAAAAGAAAAGATCAAAGAAATGTCGTAGTACAATCCAAATGAGGCTGAGTATCGTCAGAGAGCTATGTAACAATAACAACAATAGCAGTAACAGTAATAATAACAGTAATAGCAACAATAGTAAAGTTTGAATTCATCCTAATCTAATTAAAACCTTCAGAGCCTGTAATCTCAGTTGTTTCTAAATCCATTAGCTTAAAATTTATCTGGAGGTATCTAATCTTAAAAGACATTGTCTACGAATAAAAACAGCTAAGGCACTAATGCAAATATCAATAAAAACAGCAATAATTCTTAATACTATAGTCAAAGTTCATATTAAAGTTAAAACAGTAGCATGCTCAAAGATAGTGATGTACTTAACCCATATCTTAGTCACTACAATGATGATAGCAAATCTAAATCAAAGTTTCCATTTATCTCTCCTTTATCTAACTTCTCAGTTAGCAAGGATAATAAAACATAAGCTAAAGAAGATAAAAAGAAGATGCCTCCTGTTTAATAAAGTGCTATTGCAACTTCTATTAAATATTAACCAACTACGGTATTTGATCCCTTAAGAGCTAATATGGATAGTACTTCCTCGAACGGTAATTCAGATTAAATCAGAAAGAAAAACGAATAGGTTCAACAGGCGATTTAGAAATTAAACAATGTAGATAACTATGTAGAGCAACTATGGAATAAAGTAGAAGAAAATGAATTGTCTAAGATTCTAACAGAACTTAGAGAAGCAATAAATATTCTTAATTAGACTTAAAGTAATTGATTGGATAATAGGTACTAGTTTAACTGCATGAACTCAGTTAAGATTTATTTTTAATTTTGATTTCATAATACCTTCACATTATAATAGATCATTTCAAATAGGGGTTTTGGGGTTTTGGGGAGATCGGAAGAGCGTCGTGTAGGGA